CGATTTTTTGTATATAAGATCATATCATCTGCAGAGAGTAATCCTTGGGATTCATCTTTTCTGATCTGGAAGATGTTTATTTCTCTCTTGCCTGATTGCTCGACTGGGACTTCTGGGGCTATGCAGAATAGAAGTGGTAAAAGTGGGCATGTTTGTCTTATTCCAGTTCTTAGAGAACAGGCTTTCAGCCTTTCCCCATTCTGTGTGACATTAGCTGTGGATTTGTCCCATATGCCTTTATTATGTTGAGGTGCATTCCTCCAGTGCCTAGCTTGATGAGAGTTTTTATCATGAAGGGATGCTGAATTTTATCAAATGCTTTTGCTGAGTCTGTTGAAACAATCATAGGGCTTATCCCTTCATCCTGTTGATGTGACATACCATGTTTATTGATTTGTGTGTGTTGAGGCAGAAAGATCCTAGGTCCTGGTGATGCTGTTTGAATCCTTGATCAAGCTGTTCCTGAAGCCAGCAAGATCTACCCTTGAACTTTTCAGTTATATGAGTCAGCACATGCCTTTCATCCTTGGGTTGGGTTGGATTTCTGCCTCTTATAACCAAGAGAGTCCTGATATAACTTCATAACAAAAGGCAGATCTGAAAGCACCATCACTACAATATTTCTGGGAATGTGCCCAAACCTGGAAATATTTTTGCTAGTTTGACATCAAGACTCATTCGTGGCAAAATCAGAACCACACGGCTATGAGGCTCTTTATTTAGTGTGAATATTCCTAAGTTTGCTACGAAAATATTCATGGGTTTAATTTTGAGGGGCTGCCCGACCTTGCCAGCAGAATTTGATAACATACAGTCTATACACTTTCTAAAATTCTCCAAGTTTTAAATCCCCAAAACAGTCTGGTCCCAGGCTCTGGACACTCAGAACCTGGAGTCCACTGGGACAGTGATACCTGGGTCCTTGTCAATGTGTGAGAGCAAGAGCCATGTTTTCCAATAATTCTATTTTTTATTGGATCATGTCATTTTCTTCTGACTCAAACATAGGAGTTTCTCATTTGTCTCGGGTTGACATGTGCTTGTGACAGAATCCATTCCAAGACCTGACCCAATTACGTTTTGCATCATTTCGGAGACTGTGCATTCTGATTGTGGCCCGTCTGCTGGTTCATTGTTGAGATGTATTTCTGCATCGCATACACAGGTTCACCAGTCTCGTCTCGACCTTGGAAATGCTGTGGTATTTTACAGTGTGTGGTGACATTTATGGGCCCATTTGGACACCCACAAAGAGGTTGATTTCCATAGATTAAATGTCAAGTTTGAGGCCATCTAGGGTAATTGAATCCTCGAGTGCTGTCCACTTCGATTCTCAACGAGGGCTGTTGATGGGACGCTTGTGCTCTGCTGAGAACCCCTGAGTGCAGCCCAAATTGCTTCACACAGAATGGCCAGACCGTGAGTCCAGGGGGAGGTGGTAAGAGGGGAGGACCAGGCAGTGTCATTTGATACCTGCAGAAATGTGGTCTCCTTTTTAATCTTTCCGTAAAAAGCACCTATGTGTTTAGTTGGTGAATACGCTACTGGAGACAGAAAATAAAAACAACCCACCCAGAGATTGAGGTTTCCTAGAAGTTGGTTAGTTAAAATATTGAATCCTCTATGCATTGGCAAGATCAAAAGGCGAAAAGAGGAATCTATACTGGGTTTTCTGGTAGAGATGAGGTCTCACTATGTTACCCAGGCTGGTCTTGAACACTTGGCCTCAAGCAATCCTCCTGTCTTATCCTCCCAAAGTGATGGCATGACAGGCAGGAGCTACCGCACCCGGCCTCCATACTGTAATCTTTTAAGTAGGAGTACCTGTAAGGGACATTAAACACATGTACATAAGCTTGGAGTAAGCTTCATTTAAATTAAAAGGTGGCAAAAAAGCAAGTTTCCCAGATATTAAAATGTGTCCATGTGCTAATTGTCCAGAGGACGTGTCTGTCTTTAGACTTTGATACGAGTCTCTTAATTGTTGTTCTCACAGGAACTGGAGTTCAGCAGATCCAACGTGGGAACAAATGTGCCCATTTCCCCTAATTGGTACACTGTGTCAGGAGCAGCAGGCTGGCCTCAGAGACCTTTCCCACCTGATTTTCTGGGCTTTCTGCAAGTTATCCATTCATGCAGTGTCATGACTGCTCAGGTCCACTGTAATCATGTCCACCAAGAGTACCTGCTGGCCAGGGCTCCTAAAAGTCAGGGCTGTTGGTCAGCATACACCACCCTCTACAACCAGAAAGAAAGCGAATCAGCCAGCAAGTTTCAGAAAAGTCAAAATGGACATGTTGGCTTTCTGTCCAGGATTGCAGTCGCGGTAGGTCAAGGGAGTTCACCTTTTTTGCTAGACTTTTTTGCTGCCAAGCTGTTGTGAACCTACAGATGACGTGGAAGGCGACCCCAGATATGTTTTGTGATCATGAATTAGAACAACCACCACCCATGGGAGGTCCACCCCCCACCGCGACGATTGCTACCTCCCCCGTGGTAACCAGATGATAATGCAGCCCTTGCAAGCCAATGGCGGAGGTCAGGACACAGCAGTGCCTCTTCCTGACCACTCTGCTGGGCTGCAGCGGAGGCATCTGATCACAAGGAGGGACATGCGGGCCTTCAGAAGCAGATGCCTCACCGGCGGCGATGACTGAGATGCCGAAACATTAGGATTTCATAAGGGCGGGCTTGGCCGACATCTGGTTGTTTAGTCTACATCAGGTTAAACATCTTGGTGATTGGAAACATCTTGGGAGTTGAATGGGCCACATGACCTGGTTGTGGGTCAAGACCAATGAAAGACATATGGTCAGAGGAGGGCGCCCTCCCAGTAGGCAGGAGGGCAGGAGGCAAAGGCGAACAAGGCTGTCTTCATGTCCTAGGTCTGCTGTACCAAGTGCCACGAACTGTGTGGCTTGAAGTCACAGAATGGCACGGTCTCCCTGTTCTGGAGACCAGGAGCCTGCAGTTGAGCTGTCCGCAGGGCCACACTCCCTCTGAAATCTGGAGTGTAGACTCCTTCCTGTTTCCTCCTGGCTTCTATGGGTTTGCCAGCAAGTATTGGCATTCCTTGGCTTGTAGACCCCTCACTCCAACTTCTGCCTCTGCCGTCATGCAGCGTTCTCTCCCATGTATCTCTTTATGTGGTTGTGGCCTTTCTGTGTCCCTCTCTCCTCTTCTTATGAAGACACCAGTCGTACGGCTTGAGAGCAACCCACTCCAGGATGATCTCATCTTAATTTAACTATTCACATCAGCAATGACCTTTTCTCTAGAAAAGTTCACATTACAAGTATAGGCAATTAGGGTTTCCTTCCTTCTATCTTTCTTTTTTTTGTTGGAGTCTCTCACTCTCTGCCATCCAGGCTGCAGTGCGTTGGCACACTCATGGCCACTGCAACCTCAACCTGCTGGGCTCAGGTGATCCTTCCGCCTCAGCCTTCCAAATAACTGGAACTATAGGTGCATGCCACCACACCTGGCTAATTTTTTGATTTATTGTAGAAACGAGGTCTTGCCAAGTTGCCTAGGCTGGTCTCCAAACCCTGGGCTCAGGCAATCCTCTTGCCTCCACCTCCCAAAGTGCTGGGATTACAGGTGTAAGCCACCACATCTGGCCTAGGATTTCAACATTTCCTCTTGGAGGACACAAATCAACCCATAACATCTGGCCCCCCTTGTACTTACAACCTAAAGAGCTGTGCCGTTTCTTGGTGGCCATGGCTAAGTGGCCAGCACTGAGTGTGGGAACGACACCCAGAAGCCAATGACAAAACTTCTCAAAGGGCTGTTTTCTTGTGAATCCTGCCGTCCAGTCTGGGCAGCCTGTGAAAACCTGAGTCTCTCTGGGATTGGAGCATAGGTGTGAGGAGACAGAAACATCTAGGTGACTGGAAGAAGGCTTCTGCCATGTGGCCATGCCCTCAGCACCGAGTCGTTTGTTCTGAAGATGTTTGCAGTCAGCTGCTTGGAGGTAGGGAGGCTGGTAACTCAAATCACACTCTAAAAACTGTTTGTAGAACAATGTCCCTGAATAAGGGAAGCTCTTCTGTGGTGGCTTCTGGGATTTCAAGACTCTGAGCCCAGAGGTTGCAGGGGTGGCCTGGATTCAGCAGGAATTCTGTTCTCTGGTATTCGGTGCATACAAGTCATGGAGTCCCTTCAGGAGCAAGCCAGAGGAGTAGGGGCTGGTGTCCAGGGCTGGGAAGATTCTCAAATGACTGTAAGAGGAGGGTTTCCTTCATTGGCCCTGCACGCCCACCAATGCCTGGGTAGGACAGTGAGCAGGAGATGTGTGAGTGGATGAGCTTCGTAAGGGGAAGCCCCTTAAGGCCCTGTCAGCCAAGCCAGGACCACTGAGGCTTGGCCAGCCATGGGGAAGAAGGCCTGTGCCTCCTTGGAGGGCGGAGACCTGTGCACAGTCCTTCTGTCTCCTTCACCGGGGTGAAGGACGCACCAACCCTCTGCTCTCAGAAACGGCCCCACAGGCTGCCTGCAACTTTCTGCTCTCTGTCCTCTTGGAGTCTGGTTCATGAAGGCTGAGGGCACGCTGGCTTTTCCTTCTAGAACTCCCCCGCCTCGCCATCCAGGGATATTTGAATATGGAAAAACCCTGACCAACAATTTCATTATAAATCAAGAAGGTGAAAGGTGCCATTGAACGCTACATTAAAGGACCTAGACAAACATTTTAAAAATTAAATCTCTTGTGTTTTTAAAAACCATATGTAGAAATTCCAAAGGTATTTAAAAAATGAGAGAGAACCTGTTTTGCCTTATTCATTACATTAGCCAAGAATAGGTATGTAAGAGGACATTCTGTAAGGGCAGTGCAGATGAACCGGGAACGTCCATGTCACACTTGGTGTTCTTGGCAACATTCTATGGACAAGTGTGCAAGGGACCATGTCCTCAGGGGCACAGGCAGTTCTTCCTCTCCCTGCAGGGCCAGGGTGCCTGGTGCCTGCCTTGTCCCAGGGCAGAGGCTGGGTGTGGCCTCAGTGCACACCCTGCTCGGGCCAGTGCAGCTCACGCGCGTAAGCCCCTTTGCAGCTCCGGATCTTGTCGTCATGCTCCAAACACTTGTTCAGGCCTGGCACCCCTGACCTCCAGCCGATGAAGCCCTGTGTCGTCTGCGGGACTGGGGGAGACGGAAGGACCTGGAATTGAGATGCAGGATGTTAGTCCCCTGGGGCCACAGTGGTGTGAGAGGTGTCCACAAAGCTACCCAGGGTAGCCAGTGAGGCTGGGGCAGAAGAGACAGAAATAAAAGCCAGTATCTACAGGTGCGGTGGCTCATGCCTCCAATCCCACCCCAGGCTGAGGTGAGAGGACTGCCTGAGCCCAGGGGTTCGAGACCAGCCTGGGCAACATGGCGAGACTTCATCTCTGCAATAAGTCAAAAAATTAGCTGGGTGTGGGGGCACACGCCTGTGGCTCCAGCTACTAAGGAGGCTGAGGCAGAAAGATCGCCTGAGTCCAGCAAGTCGTGGCTGTGGTAGCCATGATGGAGCCACTGCACTCTGGCCTGGGCTTGACAGAGTGAGACCCCAACTCAAAAAAAAAAAAGCCAGTATTCTAACATGTACTGAAAATGAGCACATCCTAGTCAGCTGGACTTGGATGTCCATATCTTTCCTGGAGAGCGAACATCAAACGTTTCTTGATCTTGTAATGCCTAACATATTCAATTCATAACTGCCAGTAAAATTATTTTTATTTGGTGAGGGCCAAAAAAAAAAACGTAATATACAGAAATGTCAAATTCTGCAGTTCTCACTGCCCTTATAAACTATGTAAGCCAGGCGTAGTGGCTCAAGCCTGTGATCCCGGCACTTTGGGAGGCTGAGATGAGGGGATGTCTGAGTCCGTGGGTTTGAGAATAGCCTAGGCAACTTGGCGAGACCTCATCTCTACAACAAATTAAAAAAATTAGCCAGATGTGATAGCACACGCCTGTAGTTCCGGCTCCTTGAAAGGTTGAGGCAGAAGGATCGCCTGAGCTCAGCAGGTTGACGCTGGGGTGACCGTGAGCATGCCACTGCACTCTAGCCTGAGCAACAGAGTGAAACTCCAGCTCAAAAAAAAAAGTATGGGACTATATTGTCAGATGGTGTCTGGCAGTTATATGCCAGCCTGTTTTGATTGGAAGGCTCTGTGATATGAGTGTGTACACACACACACACACACACACACACACACACACACGCACTCACACTCCAGACTGTAGAGCCCACGGGAATGAAAAACCATTAAACAAAACAAAACAAAACACCTAAAGGAAAATGGACTTCTATCTGGAATGGAAAAAACACAAATTCATTTGTCAATTTCTCGGTCAGACTTGACATTTTTGGAGAGTGAGAGTAAATGTTTAGGCAGGCTTCCCTCCTTCTGGAATAATCTGTCCTGCTCATATAAGGTGATTTGAAAAAAGGTGGCAGCGAGTGATCTTTGTTCTAACAGAAGAACTGAGATAAAGCGGTTTAATGTGCTGGGGTTTATGAGCTCACTCTTACTCATGGAAACTTCGGGTGAGGCAGTGGCAGGAGAGAGGGTGCCAGGTGGACGAAATCCCTTGACGCATGTTCTTGATGAAACCTTAGAATTAATCTTCTGAGAGGCTACATGCAGGGAGGGGCCACACTGTCCTGGAGCCAGCTACCGGCAGAATGTTCTGGAGGAAAACAACGTGTATCCCACCAGGCCCTTGGGAACATGGAGACTGGCTTCTGGGTCTCTAGCCAACTTGTCAAGAAATGTAGTTGAAATCCACCCTGAGATAACACCTTTCACCCACCAGGCTTGCAAAAAGCACCACAGTTTTAACAGGCATTGAAAGAGGGAGGGCAATATGAGAGGGATCCCCAAATCCCCAGAATTGTCTTTGGGAGGGCGAACCCCTGTAGCACAGGTTTCCTTACTAGGTGAGTGTTTTAGGAAACCATCAGCATCTGTGTACCAGCTAGTGTTGTTGTGAGAGGCTGTGTTCGACTTCAGTGACATTTGTTTTGGAGACTCTTATCAATGCATTTGCCCATGTCACAATGGAGGATTTATGAGCGCACCTGCCCACCCCGCACTGAGTGTTCTTCAGTTTTTGACTAAAAACGTTATGACCCCTGTGTCCCACCCTTCCTATTCACCCAATCTTGCCCTGAGTGACTTTTCCTTTTGTTTCCCTGAATGAAAAAAGTCCTCAAAGGGAAATGTCTTGCCGATGTGGAAGAGGTGAAACAAAAAACATCAGAAGCTCTTAAAAGGCATCAAAATTGACAAGTTCAAAACCTGTTTTGAGCTGTAGAAAAAGGTGCCTTGCAACACATGGAAAGGACTTGAAGATGACTGAAATTTAAACATGTAAGAATAGATACACAATTCCTTATAAATAAAGTCTGTGTTTTAGGGTCCCCCATCATATTGCAATTATCTTCTGAATATGCCCCCTGACCTGACAATCTACCGCAGGCATCTGTGCTAAGATATTCCGGTGGCTACATACATGCACATCCACGTTGATGCAAGCAATGCCCTGCAGCCCTGTCTGTAATAAGAAATCACTGGACACGGCCTTCGTAGATATCCCCAGGAGGCTCATGCACTTAGGGCTGCGGGGCGCCATGCAGCAGTTTAAAAGAATGGTGTAGCTCTGTTCTGAGATGGGATGACCTCTAAAATCAACTTCTAAAAGAAAAAACGTGCCTCAAAGTCTGCAACGTATGGCACAAGTTGTGTTATAGTCTGAAAAGATGTCACTTTGGTTGTATTAGAACAGTCATTTAGAAAAGTCTTAAAAACTTGTATTCTTTTGTAGCCGAGTTGGGCTAAATGAAAAGTTGTTTAAATCCAAAAGTGGATGTTTTCCTATTTGCCAGAGCCCTACCCCACTCCCAGCCTGGCCTTGCCCTACTGACCAATCTTATCTAGTAAGCCATTGCTGGTGCTAAAGGAAGAAATGGCTGGCAAGCCAGACCACCTGATGATTAGGAGAGTGGCCCAAGGTCGGCAGGAGTGTGTCTGGAAGCCTGGAGTGGGCACTGCCCACCTCCCCTCCATCTGCGAATACAAGGACATTGAACTGTTCTAGGCCAGGGCTCTGGAAATAAGAGATTGTTACAATTATGTTTTAAAACAACTTAAAGTTAACATCTTAAATGTTATGACTTTCCCCTCCTTCCAAATATTGCAATTGTTGGCCCCTTCCTCTAAAAAAACTGTAAAAGAACATATTGTAAATTCCAAAACGTTATCTAGAATGTCAACATGCCCAGGAGACTTTGTGTCACATCAGGGATCAAGAATCAAAATTGTGAATGTACACCTTGAGTCATGCTAAAACTGCACGTAGCTTCAGATTCTGGGTGGGTGAACAGCCATGAATGTTGGGTATAAATACGGGAATGAACTTGTGTTGTTTGGAGCAGGGCTTTTGGCAATGATGATGCCAACCTGTCTCTCTATATCCTGGATATAGAAATTAAACACTCCCTTTTCTCCCAGTCGTTGCCTCTTGTATTTTAGTTGGCTGCAAGGAATATCAGCCAATTGATTGGATTGGGCCATAACAGTTGTGTCATAAGAAAGCAAGGCTAGAGACCCCGCATATAGGTTAGGATGTGTGTATTCTGTCTCTGCAGGGGTGACTGTTTCCTGGAGGGAGTCGGGAGGCAAGGAGACTTCTCACCACGTGCCCTTTTGGGCATTTAGTTTACCTGTTAAAAATAAATATGCTTTAAAGCTCTAGTCCCTCAAAGAAGGGAGGGGAAGCGGGAAGAAGGAAAGCATTGACCATTTCTTGATCAAGGAAGGAAGTCCAGAGGGAAGGAAGCAGAGGCTAAGGATCTTCCTTGTTGGGAGCCAACATCTATAGCTACATGGCTGAGGCCTGTAAAGGCCCATCTGGAAGATCGCCTCTCACATAGGATATCAGTTATACCTATAATATTGGCATGTGATTAGTGACCAGTGAGCATATATGGCAGTAAAACTTATAAGTAAATCTCAATACACCTGATGGAA